TAAGTAAAGTGTAAAAAAAAAAAAAAAAAAAAAAAACAATGTTAAAGAAAGAAAAATAAATGACTTGAGAATAAATGCAGAATTCATCAACTTGGGTTTGTACCGGCCAGACGCGTATTGGCAATCGATTGAAAGACTCATATCAGGGACAGTTTCACCCTGGCTCAAACGGAAAATCTCTACACTTGCCGCCTGAAAAAAACACTTCCAGCTCCGATGTTTGTGTGCTTATCGTGCCATTTGGGGAGATAGCATTGTTTCTTGTTCGTCGCACTGGCGGTAATTTAACGCTTGCTATCAAAGGCTAAAGGATGTGATCTGTCTGTCTGTCTCTCTCTTTCCACTCATTCCTCCCTATCTGTTCACTCTTCCCTCTCTTTCCTTCCTTCTCTTCCTCTCTCTATTTGTTGAGCACTGTGTGGCAAGGTACATTTTTGTAGAATGTCTAGGTTTATTCCACCACAAACTAGTATATAAACAAAATTCATATATTTTTTTCTAAGTGTTGTTTTGCTCATCCACAGCGCATAGAAAAGAAAATACAAAATGTGTCCATGTAAAGCAGCAACAAAAGACCAAGCAGAGTGCTTTTGCCAAGCAATCGGTTACTTAAAGTCTCGGGGCCCAGGACAAAATGTTAATCGGTGGGCCCCCTCTTCCAATGAGAAGGCTATAGCATAGTGCACTTTAGTGGGCCCCCCTCGTCACGGGGCTCGGGGCAACATTCTCGGTAGCCCATCCCCCAGCTACTAGAACTTTTGCTTAGTTGTCCTACTATTTCCTGAGTCCACTGGCCTTTCAAGTCAATTAAGACTACAGGACGAAAGTCACATCGCATTATTGAAATTCATCAGCCTAACATATTTTTTATAATATGTCCACCAAACCTAACCACACCCCCGACCAGAGCTGTGTTGAATATAGTAAATCACAAAATTTTCACTTAATTACCCTTCTCTCATTTTTAATTATCTTTACAAGGTAAATGGACATACATAAACCTAAACAAAAACACCTAGTGCACTGTAGCAGATGTTAGTGTCTGTGGATGGTTGTCCATGCTGGTAAGATTGCACTGCCCCCTAGTGGATGAAAAAGTAATCCAACACTGCAGATACATCCAGACAAATGTGTGTGTTAGAGTGAATATTTTTTGATATTATAAATACCTGTCTGTCTCCCTGGCATTTTTCATTTAAATCCCGCTGGTGCTGTCATGTGCCAGTCATAGAAATGACAGGCATCGAGATGAATAGAGCCCTCGACAGACTGGCCTGACCTCCCCACACACACTTAAACGTTGATCTATTACGGAGGGTGTCTAGTTTTTGGAGACTGAGTGTCTGTGTCCCATTATGATTGACGGATGAGGAATTTGACTGACAGGTCTGGCTAGCTGAACTAGCTATTCACAGTCTGTAAGGGTCCCATGCTGTGTGTGTGTGTGCGGGTGTACGTCTATAAATGAGAGGATTGTCTTTGAGGGTCTGCTTTGTGTGAGGGAAGACACTTCATTAAAGTCACCCCCTACCGAAACGCACACACAGGAACCCGCACGCATGCATGGGTGCAAAGGTCAACCTTTGAGAACCCCTTGAATGTTGAATCATGTGACCGAAGCTTAAAATCTGATCATGTGACCCCTTAAAAAAAATCAAGTGTTTCGTTTGCGGCTATTATGATAATGGGTGTTCATTGAAATGAATGGTCATAATTAGTGCAGGTGGGCTCTTCATAACTCATTATGCTCATTACCAGTGTATGAAAACAGAGAGATGGAGAAATAAATGATTGATTAGATTAGTTAAACTTCTCTCAGTGTTTTATTGTGTTATATGAGGTATTTTTGTCCCTCAGCAGGTGAAAAGAAAGAGTGAAAGTGACAGAAAATGAAGGACAGAGAGCAGGAATAAAGCAAGGATTAAGCTTCTGTTAGTTTTTGTCCAATTATTGAAAAGAGGAAGAGAGCGAGTGAAGCACTTCCTCTGAAGGTGTTCAGGGGTCATCATTTAACCCTCTTACTCTCTCTTTTATTCTCTGTTTCTTTCTTAGCTCTCGATTCCCTCCTGGGTGTTCCACTCTATGCTGCCACTGAAGTTTCAGTGTGTGTGTGTGTGTGTGAGCCCTCAGTTGTCAAGCCCACCTCCCACCATGTCTTTGTGTGTGTGTGTGTGTGTGTGTGTGTGTGGGTGGGTGTGTGGTACTTTATTTCGATGTAAGTCGCCCCGTTAAAAATGGGAACAGTTTTTTTTTTAATTGTTTTGTTTCAATGGTTTGATTGCCTGTGCCTGAATTCATCTCTCCCTCATCTGGGTGACAGCTGGAATGTTTGTACTGTAATCCAGACGTACGTTTGATCTCATAAATGCGCACGCAGACCGGTGTCGGTGTCCTGTACAGATGCAGATGAACCTGATTAAAGACAATTCTCATTCAGTTCACGCTCAGGTCATGTCAGGATGACATTTTTAAAGAGCACTGAAGACTTAACCATGGCTGTTTAAATGTCCGCTCTCTGATGCCTAGAGAACCAGGAAAATGTTTGTTCAGTCTCATCATAACTGTTTGCATGAGCGTTTGCTGTGTGTGTGTGTGTATTTTTGTTGCATTTCTTCTTGCAGAAGTTACATTTTTAACTTTGTTCTCACTCTGTTGGTTTCCTTCCTGCTTTCTTTTCTTTTGTTGTTTATTTTCTCCCGCAGACTGTGCCTGCATATGTCCATGAATCTTTTGTGTGTTATTTGAACACAAGGCTATTAGTTATGTGTAGGTTTCACACTGGAGGATTTTGCTAAAGTAATCAATCATATAATTCCTTCATTTTTTTCTACTCTCTTCTCTTTGTCCTCTTTTTCATATTGACCATATTTATCTAAAACGACTGTTTGAGATAAATTGTATGACCATAAATTGTTTATTTAGCTGTATAATGAAATCATTAGTCTTCACTTCTTCTATCAGTCTTAGATTTTGTCAGTATTTATTCACCATCATGTCATTCTAAACCTGTATGATTTTCTTTTCTCTGTAGAACACAAAAGAGGATATAATTAAATGCATTAATGGGGATTGGAGCCACACACACACACACACACACACACACAAAAACAACAAAAAAAAACAATATGAAAGTATCCTAAAAGACATCTGTCTCAGCTCTTGTGATGTGTTCGTAGCATTGTCTGATTCATAAGCAAAACATTATTTTAATATTTTTAATTTCTCTCTACCAGAGGGGCCAGGGTGCCCCAGTAATTCTCACAAATATTTGCATTTAGTTATTAACATGATCTTTATTAAAATCCTAAAAATACTAAAAATAGCAATATACTGTAACATTCAACTGACATCAACATTTTAGGCTAACACTTTAGAATAGGGTTCCTTCGTTAATGAATAACTACACAAGAACCAATGAGTAACACAATATTAACAATCTAGTAACTATTATTAACTAACAAGAAACTCTGATTAACGAACTAGTAAGTAATAGCGCACAGATGAAAGTGGTAGTTCACTATTAACTAATCAATAACAACTTTTTTAATACTTCCCAGAGAACTACTGAAAAAGTTTATTAACAATAGTAACTACTATTAACTAAAATAAATTCTTATTAATGAATTAGTAAGTAATAGCTCGCAGATGAAAGTGTTACTAGATACTTCTGTGGGAATTACTAATTATTTGGATTCGTATTATAAAGTGAAGATCATTGGAACTAACTAATGACTCAAGTGTTACTAAAGACTTCACCAAAAATCTCAGACGTTTGCACAAATCATGACTAGATCATGTAGTAACACTTGAGTCATTACTAGTTAGTTCCAATGATCTTCACTTTATAATACGGATCCAAATAATTAGTAAGTAATAGCTCACAGATGAAAGTGTTACTAGATACTTCTGTGGGAATTACTAATTATTTGGATCCGTATTATAAAGTGAAGATCATTGGAACTAACTAGTAATGACTCAAGTGTTACTAGATGATCTAGTCATGATTTGTGCAAACGTCTGAGATTTTTGGTGAACTTTAGTAACTTTTAGAAAATGTCTTTAGTAACACTTGAGTAATTAGTTAGTTCCAATGATCTTCACTTTATAATACGAATCCAAATAATTAGTAATTCGTATCTAGTAACACTTTCATCTCCGAGCTATTACTTACTAATTCGTTAATAAGAGTTTCTTTTAGTTAATAGTAGTTACTAGATTGTTAATAAACCTTTTCAGTAGTTCTGTGGGAAGTATTACAAAAATAGTAGTTATTGATTACTTAATAGTGAACTACCACTTTCATCTGTGCGCTATTACTTACTAGTCCGTTAATCAGAGTTTCTTGTTAGTTAATAATAGTTACTAGATTGTTAATATTGTGTTACTCATTGGTTCTTGTGTAGTTATTCATTAACGAAGGAACCCTATTCTAAAGTGTTAGCCATTTTAGTTATTTATTTATAATTAATTTGTATTACAACAGACCGATGCTTATATATGAAGGCCTTTGAATATTGAATACAGATGGGTCTCAGTGTCAAATATTTTAAGAACCACTGAATTAATCTGTCTTATTTACAAAATCAGACTGATCTTGTTCTCGCTAAACAGCTCACTGGATGAAATGATCAACTTTAATTTCATATGGCTTCAGAAGACTTGGAGTATAGAACACAAATCATATAGACAATTTTTATGATTCTTTAATAGTGTTTTTGATGATTGAAAGCTCTAGTTCCCATTTACTCTATTGTTATGCCATGCATTTCTCCTTGTGTGTTCTAAGGAAGAAAGAAAACCATACAATTATGAGTAAATTATGACAGAATTTTGACAGTTGATGTCTCACAGTCTGCCTTTGCTCTTGTGATACACAACAACCATAAAGGGTAACAAAATCTGTGTACTTTCCAATTTAAATAGAACTTTAGATAATTTGAATATATATTTGTCTCCATAACTGCTAACGATTGTTAATGTTCTCTTTCTCTATTTTACAGTGACCTGAGTGAAAATCAAATCCAGGGGATTCCCAGAAAAGCGTTCAGAGGAGCTACTGAGATCAAAAACCTGTTAGTTTTCTGTGTCTATGTGTGAAATGTAATGATTGTGTGCTTTAATGAGATGCCCAGGCAGACTGACCATCACACACACGCCCACACACACACACACACACACACACACAGAGATGGGAGGAGTGGGCAGTGCAGGTAGACAACAGTGGAGGAAAACACAGCAGACAGAGTGAGGAGGCTGCAAAGTCAAGAACAGTAATTGGGGGAGAAATAAAGAAAGACTTGACAACAAAATGAGTGAGAGAAAAGAAAGACAGATTGAGGAACAGGAGAGTGAAATATGTACATTGGTTATTAGTAAAGAACAGTGTTTCTGAGAGAGTGTACTACTCTATTATGATAATCATTTCACACCAAAGAGAAGAACTTCAAATATTTTCTCTCTGTCTTTTTCCTATCTCAGGCAGCTGGACTACAATCAAATTTCCTGCATTGAAGATGGAGCGTTCAGAGCTCTGCGGGACCTAGAAGTACTGTAAGTGCACTATGTGTGTGTGTGAACTTGGGTGATTGTGTTCTGTTGAATTAAAGCCACAGCAGAGATCTTTTCAGGTATCGAGGTCTCCTTAGACTTGGTTCAAAGCTGGGTAAAACCGATTTTTGGACTGTTCCAGAAACTATGTTTCATTTAAAGACTGGAATTGAGATTAGAAAAGTGTATGTTCATGTTAAATTGGTAAATTTCAATGTATGTAGACTGCATGCCGTGTGTCTGGCTGTCAGATCATGCCTGATGTTGAATAATTGTAAAAAACGCATATCTGCTTTTTAAAGTGGGATTAGTGGAATAATCCTGTTAGAGAAAATGGAATCAAGACAGATAAATGGGATTGTGTCAGAATATTTTACTTGGATTATTTCGATGCTTTGTGACAAATGGACGGATGAGGTTTAAAATTCTGTTACCACTGAATTGGGACACAAAAGGAGTTATTTAGCAGAATGTCTTGTGGAAAAGTAGATGGGGACCAGGGACAGCTGTGGTCACCATTCACTTAAATTGTTTAGAGCTACTTGAAAGAGCTACCACACAAGCTAAAAAGTCATTTGGGTTTGTATATGTTTGTTATCTAAATAGGTCTATAAAATGATTATTATATTTTCCTGTCTTTGTTTCACAGCACACTGAATAACAACAAAATCTCTCGCTTGTCTGTGGCCAGTTTTAACCACATGCCCAAGCTCAGAACATTGTGAGTATCTCTCTCTCTCTCTCTCTCTCTCTCTCTCTCTCTCTCTCTCTCTTTCTCTCTCTCTCTCACACACTCAAACTGCTTTAAACCAGTTCTTCAGACTGTCGTTGATTATCCAGCACTTATCCTGCTGGCCCTTAATACGTGTGATTATGGGGTAATACGGTGTAATAACGGTATTAATATGTATGTTTCATTAGCATACATTTTGTATATTGGAGTCCTTTGTGTGTGATCATGATTTAATCCAATTTACATGAGCTAAAATTGCTATATCAGTATTCTGGTCCTTGTTAGCTAAACGTCAGCAATAGATGATGGAAAGAATGACCAGTGAATGACAGGATGGGATGGACAATGGCCATGAAACATGGGCTTGTGTGAAATGCCAGTCATTGTTATTGTTTACTTACACTAAAATTGAAATTAAAACTACTAAACAAAATATGACAGTGAATTCAATATATTGTATTAGTGTATAAACAATACTAAAATAACACTGTTACCATAGTTAAACATTCCATTGAAAAAAATTAATGGTAGGGGTTAAATTTTGTTTTGATAAATGTGTAAAAAAAAAAAAAAAAGAACCACCGAAAGTTATGCGTTTTAAAATGAAAATGCACTGGTGTACACGACACGTATAACATAGGTATTCCATAAACTGCTCGGGAATCGATGCTCTCAACCCAAATATGGTTCTTTCAATGAGTAATGGGCCTATATGACTCGACGGCGATTTTTTTAAACCTTTTTTTTTCAATAATAAATGTACGGTAGTGTGTTGATTCAATTAAAAATCAACATATCACATATTTTAAAATATTACATAATTCATTGAAGCCTCTTTGTCATGTATAATACACCGACCAATCGTAATCTGGCACAAGAAGTTCAAATTTCATTAGACAATGTGAAGTGGAGCGGTAATTTTCAGGTCATTCATGAATCGTTTCAAAATTACATGGACCGACGAATTTACATTTATGAATCTGCATCGTTGAATCAATGGATGTTTCAATCCATTGATTCAATGAAAGCACAAAACTAGCACCAAAAGTAGCATTAATGGTAAGTAATACTCGTAGCCTATTCAAGTCACTTGTATTTTGTCGTTGTAAATTGATACACCATTTATTATGCAGTAAACATAATTATGCTAGCATAGATAACCATGCAGCAATACAGTAACATCACTACTGGTCAAATATTTGGACACATCTATTTTAATGTTACTTTTTTTCAGGATTCATTGATGAATAAAAAGTTAAATAGAACAACATTAAATCTTTACTGTCACTTTTTTTTAAAATCAATTTCGCACATCCTTGCTATAAATAAAAGTATTCATTTATTTAAAAGAAAGAAAAAAAGAAAATGACTGACCCCAAACTGTTGAATGGTAGTGTATTTTGGTACAAAATATTTTTATTTTAAATAGTTGCTGTTTTTTTTTTAACTAAGAATCCTGAAAAAAGTACGAAAGGTAATAAGTATATTATAACACGCAAACCTCGGACGTGCAGAGAGTTCCTCAGGGGCAGGGGCTCAAATGTAAAAAAGGGGCACTGAGAAACTCTCTGCACATCCCTGGTTTGCGCGTTGTTTGTAAGTACAAAACTGTAATTGATTAACTGTTCGAGGCAAATTCAATAACACTAACATACACTCTCACACACATATACACATCAGCTTAGACTGCCTCAAATGACTCTTTCTCTCACACTCTCAATCTCTCTAGTCGCCTCCACTCTAATAATCTGCTATGTGATTGCCATGTGGCCTGGCTCTCTGATTGGCTGAGACAAAGGCCCCGCCTTGGCCTCTACACACAGTGTATGGCCCCACCCTCCCTGAGGGGCCACAACATTGCTGAGGTTCAGAAGAAAGAGTTTACCTGTACAGGTGAGTTTGTGTGTGTTTGTGTGGCTTGTTGATAGGAGATAAGGGCTTCTAAGGATAAAGACAATAAATACATGTATTTGCTGTTTTGTTTTGTCAAAGCTTACATATTCTGTTCATTTTTCGGCTTTTCTCTTTCTTTGCTCATGCTTTCAAGACTTCAGTGAAGGCAAGTTATTTGTGCTGAAATCACATGGACAAAAAAGTTTCTTTACATCAATTTGCATTTGGTTGCAATATGCAGTCCACCACTTATTTTTCATTTTTCTCCTTCAAACTCAACCTTCCTGTGTGTAGCTCATACCTCTACATCACTGTCATCTCTTTTTATGTGTTTTTTAGGGCCCCAGTCACACTCGTCCTGTAGTGTTCTGCAGTGTCCTGAGCTATGCACCTGCAGTAATAATATAGTGGACTGCCGAGGGAAAGGACTGACTGAAATACCTACCAACCTGCCAGAAACCATCACTGAGATGTGAGTGAGGAGCAGACACACACACACATACACATCTGGTTTACTATCTTTGTGAGGACTCTCCATAGATGTAATGGTTTTTATACCGTGCAAACATTGACCCATCACAGGAAACATTCTGCATTTTTACATTTTACATGGGGACCTCAATTTAGGTCCCCTACAGTGACTCCAGTCCCCATGAGTTTGTGTGCATTTGGGTTTAAGTCCCCACCAGGATTGAAAAAACATGTACACACACACACACACACACACACACACACACAGAGATTATGTTCATATGTCTTCCTCAGTCTTCTGTTAGGTTGAGTGTAATGGTGGATTTGCCCCCTTTGTGACAGATGCAACTTCCACATTCCACACACATACACAGTGAGGGCTGTATCTGTATCAAATATTTTAACTACGGAGGCCATGCTGAAGTCATGCACATTAATTCAGTGTGGAAATGGATTTATTTTATCAATGGAATCTCTTCTGAGGGCCAACGCTCTGCCAATGGGGTCTGGATTGAGACGCCACATCTTTTTTTTAACTGTTGTGCCTCTCACTGCCAGGGTCATTGTCTATCTTTTTTCTTCCCATCTCTCTCTGTCTGTCATCCCCTCTGAAAGCTGCTTGCAGGGCCTTGGCAGATGAGTTGGATTATCTCATTTGGCTTCGGTTGAATGAAATGTGTGTGTATGTGTATGTTCGTCCACCTATGCGGGGATCTGATTTTCATGCTCTGTCAAGTTTGGAGAGCTTATCTGATTTATGACATATTTACTGTTAAAGAGAAGAACAGATTTCTAGAGAGAGACAGCGAGAATGAGAGATGTTATAAATAAGCATTGCATTAAGTTGAATGCTAGAGTACTGAATGAATAATATATTTATGATTCATAATTAATTTTTAAAGTCTTGACTTGGCAGGTGGGAAAATTACAGCTGATGACGATTTATATTTTATTGCAGTAACACAATATCCATATTTAATCACATTTTTGCATTTAACAAAAAATTAATTAGCTTAAGTGTGTAATTTTTACTATTTTTCTTTCTGGGTTTTTTTTTTAATTATTATAATTTTTTTGTGCATGTGTCTTTGGTTAAAAGCTGTCTTAATTAAAAGCAGCAGTTTTGGTGTACAAGTTGTAGAAATACAATAGTTAGCCATCAGCCATGTAATGGAAATATAACAAATTAGTAAAAAAAATAAAACAGATGATTGTGTGGAAAGCGTTTGAAATAAGAAATAAAGTAATTGCAAAATGTAAAGTTGCTATGATGTCAAATACAACAGCCTGTATATGACTGAGTCTTCATTATATCCTAAACATGTTTTTCATAAGTACTGTTCTTTTAGGGTAGATGTGTTTTCTTCATAAATACTGAGTGCACTTTCTAGGCAATGTTGAAATGTTAGTGTGTTTATAATTCAATTTTCATGGAGCAGATATTTTGGATTTGTTCTCAGCAGACATGGGCGCTGCCTCAAACTGGAACAACAGCAAACAGACACAGATGCTACACTGTGATTAAAGTCATCCCAGAGATATTCACATTAATCTTACATTTGTGCCTGTCACATTGATTTTCCTCTTGGTTCCCCTCTTATTGTATTAGATTTGTATAATATAAAAACATATTTTAACTAAAAAACATTGTCCAAGATTACAAAAAACGAAGCATTCAAAATCTTCACATTTCTTTCGGTTTTCTAGGCTAACATCACCCATCATTCTCATACTCTCCAATAACTCCTCAATAGTGGTGTCAGTGTCCATCATTTTCCAGTTACCCTCACCTTTTTGAGATTTGAATTATTCCCTCTGCAATGTTCCTTCCATTTGTTGATCTGGTTTATTCTATCTATTCACAGTCGACTGGAGCAGAACTCCATCAGCATTATTCCGCCAGGAGCATTCTCACCTTACAAGAGACTGCGGAGAATGTGAGTGTGTGTCTGTGAGGGAACACATAGATACACAATCACACAAAAACACACTTATTCTATCTCTATTTTTTCTCTTCTTTTCAGAGATTTGAGTAATAATCAAATAACTGAATTGGCTGCAGACTCCTTTCAAGGCCTCCGATCTTTGAATTCTCTGTGAGTATATATATGTGTGTGCGTGAGAAGAGAATGTAAGAGTTATATTAAGCTTCCATCATTCTTTCAATTATTGATGATCTGGCTCATTCAAGCTTTTAGAGGACAGAGCAGATAAATTCCTGCAGGGTCTGAGTCAACCCAACCACCATTCAAATATACTGGACACCTGTCATTTTAATAAATAACAACTTTTAAAGGCAAACTCAGTCATTTTTCTCTCTTTACACACAGTACAAAATAGTCATTTACGAGATGGCGATTTTGTGTGAATTTTTACAGTGCGATTCGTTTTAGAAAAAAATTCTGACAATTTCAAGACACACTGAAGAAGTCCTGAGAGCTGAAACGTCTGTGCTTCCTGTGTAAAAAAAAAAATAACAAAAGATTTTGAATTTTGAGTGCGAATCATAACTGAATTTTTGATGTAATTAAATAGATTCACAAGCATAATAAAACAGTATACGAGACAAGAGAGTGCAGGGTAAACAACAATGTTGAACTGAATTCCAAGACAATTGACGTTAATAAAAAAGATTACTGCACCTTTAAGCTTTAAAGGGATAGTTCACTTTGAAATTAATTTTTGATATGTTTTAGCTTACCTTAAGGGCATCCAAAATGTAGGTGTCTTTGTTTCCACAGTATTTTCAATTTTGACATTTTTCGGTCAAACCGTTGTTCTCTGTCAGTCATATAATGCAGGTATGGGGGTCCACCTCAAAGAGCATGCACAGAGAAGTCAAAATTAAACATGATTTCATGACTCGTAAATGTAAGTACACATTGATGGCCCAAGACACGAAACGAGCAGTTTGTGTGAGAAAACGAACTGTATTTATATCGTTTTTATCTCATGCTATCACAGTCATGTCCAAGTGATCTGAATCAGTTGTGCAATGTCCAACTGAACCCTGTACAACGTTCCACCGGAAGTGATTGCTTGCGCGTCGATGTCACTCTTTGTTTACACTGAGATTTCCGAAGTTTTACCTTTCAATGCGAAGATCTAACCATATTTAGATGTAGATGAAATCACAACGGAAGACGATTTCGGTATATCTAAATATGTTTAGTGAAAGGTAAAACTTCCGAAATCACTTCCGGCGGAACGTTGGACATGGTTCAGTTCGGTTCAGTTGGACATTGAACAACTGATTCAGATCAGTTGGACGTGACTGTGATCACATGAGGTAAAAACGATATAAATACTGTTCGTCATCAATCTGTACTTACATTTACGAGTCATTAAATCATGTTTAATTTGGACTTCTCTGTGCACGCTCTTTGACGTGGACCCCTAAACCTCCATTATATAACTGACAGAGAACAATGGTTTGACCGAAAAATTTCAAAATTGAAAATACTGTGGAAACAAAGACACCTACTTCTTGGATGCCCTTGAGGTAAGCTAAAACATATCAAAAATTAATTTCAAAGTGAACTATCCCTTTAAGCTTTATACTGTATATGGCTATAGCCTTAGAATATAAACACACTGATATAAGCCCTTTCTCTAATCTATTAAGTTATTTGTTTTGGCCTGGTATTTTCAGTGTGCAAATGTACATGTATTTTTTTTAGGGGTTGTGATGTATATGTCCTACTTGCTTGGTCTCTGTATTTTCTTTGGTTTACTTTACTGACCGGGTTCCAATGAGCCAGAACTTAGTGGGCGGAACAGTTCTCCCTCTCTCTCTCGTTCCCTTTGGACCAGCCTCTTAGGAACACCAGCCAGCCATTTAAAATCTGTCCTCCTAAAAAAATACAACTTCATGCCAGAAGAGTGATCCAATGTGTAACATAAGTGAACACACACATGCAAGTCCTGATATGACATCACTTAATGAAATACTTCAAATGCAGGCTCAGACAGATTTTGCGAAGGCTTTTTGATGAAATCTGTGGTATATTTCTTAAGATAAATTGAGTGTGCTGATTCGTAGCTGAAAGCATTATTAAATAAGAAAAAATATTTAATGAATAAACATACAAGAGCACAACTTTGTGCAACTTTGTGAATGACAGACGTTCCAAATCTGCAGAGCTTTCTGTGTGGGCCTCCACATATGTTGGATATCAGCAAATAGCCAAAGCCACAATGCCATTATTCATTCTGAAATAAAAATGCCATGAATTTTTTAGCCCTGCATGGCTCTAACAGATTAGTCTTGAATTTCCCAGTATCCCTCACCCATTTTTACAACAACCTCAGCTTGCGCATGGTTATGGACCATTAGGATGAAGTAATGAATATGAACTGCAATTGATATATTCATCATAAGAAGATTAGTGTGCACATGTTTTTTTTTATGATTTTACCTCATGAATGTGGGTCCACATGATTTCGTTTGTGTTTAAATATGATTCGTAATTGGTTACACTGGGTTGATTTGTGGTGGTACATCGTGTGCTTTGTTTAAGGATCAATTTCTGATGAATCGGTTTGTGTGTGGGTGGGTAATGGACATCTTTAATCTTTGCTTTTATTTAATGTTCCCTTGTGTTTCTGCCTTTCAGGGTTTTATATGGGAATAAAATCACTGAACTTCCCAAAGGTGTTTTTGATGGACTATTCTCAGTGCAGCTACTGTGAGTAATGCACATTCTGTGTATTTATGCTTGAAAATACCATGAAGGCAAGGTGTTTATTTCTGTGTGAGCTTACACCTCAATTATTTTATTTCACTCTCAACTTGGTTCTGATCTGAAGTTTTAGTCATAAGAGAAATAGATATATTGGCTCAATATAAAAACAAAAGATTTTCACACCATTATAGAACAAAACAAACGTCTGTGTGTGTTTGTGTGGATTGGACTGTAAGGTTCACCCATTCGCCTGATGACAGACAGCACAACTGGACATACATTCACTCACATACCACACACACTTCCGCTGTGTGTGCGTGTGGGTGTGAGGAGTATGTTTAGGAAATGCTTGTTAATCCAAGTATTTATAGGGGTTTAACAAGACCATAAGCGTTTGGTGCTACTACATAACATTACAACCACAACCTTACAATTACAACCTTGTGCTCAGACTATTTACAAAGTGAATATAGATAGACTCTTGCAGACTTATTCTGAAATAACTATCACAAAAAGCTCAACTCACATTTGTGTATGCTCACAAATGTAAAAAATTTGGTGCCAATAACTGAAGCACACAGACATTTTTATTAAGAGAGCTGCTTTGTAAAATAAAACCTCTTTTTATTCACAAATTTTTTTCTCCCATAATGCACTGTAAATGAGTCTGGAAACCACAGGGAATATTTTTTATATTAAGTCTCACTCAAATGTTTGTCTATAAATGTTAATCTATTTGTAAATGCCATTTATAATATCTCAATTTAATACGCATGTATAGATTTTTCTGTTTGCCTGAGAGATTTGTGTAAAATGTCACATGCTAATGTTTATCCCAACAGATTGCTAAATGCGAACAAGATCAATTGTTTGCGTGTAGATGCTTTCCAAGACCTGCAGAAACTAAATGTCCTGTCGCTTTATGGCAACAAACTCCAGACCATTGCAAAGGGAACCTTCTCTTCTCTCCGAACCATCCAAACTCTGTGAGTAACATGCGTTGAAAAATGAGTAAAAATATATGATTTTGCAAACACAGCTCTTTAATAATGCCACATTTACTTTTTTTGGTTTTACAATTGTCACACAATGATATGTCTGTAAGCATGAAAATACATTTTTCCCCTTTATATTGTTGGAAAGTTGGTCACTTGGATCATTATTTTTGAGGGAACCCTGGTATATAAAATTAGGGCCATGCATGATAAGTTTCATACAGTCATATTTCAGGCTCATCAGTAGATGGGGAGTAAAAAATGTGAATGTACTTTTTTTGCTTAGTTAAGAAACTGGTTAACTATCACCGTCATTCACAATTTTCTTTTTCATTTTGTTCATCAGTCATCTGGCCCAGAACCCCTTCATGTGTGACTGCCATTTGAAGTGGTTAGCTGACTACCTGCAAGACAACCCGATTGAGACCAGCGGAGCTCGATGCACCAGTCCCCGCCGCCTTGCTAACAAACGCATCGGCCAGATCAAGAGCAAAAAGTTCCGCTGTTCAGGTACATACACACATGCACATTGGTATTTGCATATATGTGTAATTATCGGCCGTTTGCCAGACTTTCTCGCAGATGCTAAATCGATTGATCCTGCTCTTCCTGTCTGCTCCCAACTGTGGACTTGGGTGTCAGTGAGAATGTGTGTTGTTAATGGTGAAAACATCTTAGTCAGCTTTCACTTATATATACACGGTTCCAAGGGTCTCAGCATGAGTTATCTTCTCCTGTCTAAGCAGATTAGGAATCAGAATGCAAATGTGTGCATGTTGTGGGTATTATTAGTTTACTGTCTGTCAGCTGAGTATTGATCGCTGTGGGGTTATAAATGAGCAGGATTTCTTGATCAATATTCATATTTATTTATTGATCTACACACACAGCTCTCCTCTCAGTTCTCTGTATATCTTTCTTTGTATAGCTAAAGAGCAATACTTTATACCAGGTATGTTCAACTGCTAAACATTTTTGTGTGTGTGTGTGTTCTACATAAAAGCCTTTGGACACTAATGCACGCAAATCACACACACATTATAATGTAGATGGAAAAAAACAAACATTTGTGCACCAAAAGTTCGTGAGATTTTTGCTGTGGAAGATCTGCTTACAATGGTGCTGTATTCTTGTGCAGCACATGGTCAATGACAATGTTATTTTTTGTCAGAATCTAATAATTATTTACTCTCTAATTTATAATAAAAAATACATTAAAATGCCATTCATACACACAATGACTGGAATATAACTATTCTATTATTAACCTGTTTTTAGTTTGTTGATTAAAATTAATTTTGTTGTTTTGACAATTCAGGGTGATAAAACTGTCCTGATATTATAATGAAGAAAAATTAAAAAAATAATTAAATTCTTGAACTGACAACTTTAATTAGTTTAGCATGTATTTAATATATTTTTGTCTTACATATAAAGTTTTATTCAAATGTTTGGGGTTGGTTAGATTTTTTTAAAGTCTTTGGAAGAAGTTTCATGTGCCATTTATTTATTTTAAATTTCATATATTTTATAATGTAAATATTTTATATTTATATATTTTATATTTTATGATTCCTTAAATTTTCAGTTCAGGGTCACATGGTGCTTCTGAAATTATTTTAATATGCAGATTTGGTGCTCGTTATATTTCTTGAGATTAGAAATATATCTATTAATATAATTTATAAATTATTATAAATATATATTTTTTTAATATAAAGATGTGGTGCTTAAGAATAAGATACAGTATATTTCTTAACATTGGAAATATATCAATGTTGAGTCCAGTTGTGCTACTAATATTTTTGTGGAAACTGTGATACATTCAAGATTCTTTGATGAATAGGAGGTTTAAAATGTTGCATTTATATGACATATAATTTGATATATAATAATACTGCACCCACATTTTAAACTCTCTCTCTATGTATACAAATATATTTTACAGCTTTTTGAATGTTGTGTACACATGTATCCAGGATGTGTATGAAATGACTTTTTTAGAGTAATTAAATTCAAACTACTCTTAAAAATGACATAAAGTTGTTTAAAACCAAAAACCAACATGAATACAATGGGTTTATTTCCAAGAACTTGTGTATTAAACTAAATTACTAATAGAGTCGTTGGCTTTTACAGTATTTTGTTAGATGAGCTAACAAACAAACAAACAAATTGCGCTTCAGTCTAATGTTAATTTGTTGTCACCAGCCTGATCAGTGTCACTGTTGCTGTGCGCATGCTCACAAATAGCACACGGTGGCATGGATCTAAAAACACAGATTTTCCAACAATCGTCAGTGTGTGTTTGAGTGTTTGTGTATTACATATTCTCTCTCTTCCTTTCTCGCACACACACTCAGGGATTCATCATATCAATAAGTGTAAGTAACTGACACAAAACCAGTAAGACCTCACCCAACAAGCCCCTCCCCCTCAACCTCAACCCCAGCCAATCACAGACCAGGAACCCAGATATATGTGAAAATGTGCTCACAGGTTTATTGAGCACACGGTGTGAATAGAATGTGTCTCTGTGTGCGTCTGACTGTGCTTAGAACCGCTGGTTCATATGTTAATTTACTGTACAAAAGCTACAATGTTCCTGTCACACTCTTCTGTTTCTTTCTTCTTACCCCCCGCCCTCTTTCCATCATTCCTACTAGTTTATCCCAGCTAAACAAAGTAGTACCTCATTCTTTATCTCTCGACCCTTTCTTTCTCTCTGTGTGTGTCTTGTGGAGGAAATTCAGCGGGGTTTTCCTTTGTGCTTGATCTAACCATGTGGTTGCAGACTCGGACTAATACATGGTTCTGTCAAGCACCATGGAAGGTCTTGCAGCATCTACAGCATGGCAAGCAACAAGAGACTACCTTTGTGTGTGTGTGTGTGTGCGTGAGTGATTTTTTTTTTATCATTGGATGTGCTGTTAAGAATGCGTGTATTGTCCTCCTTATAAGTGTGTGTGAGTGTGTGTATGCAAAACACTCCAAAGTCATGGCTACTATGTCAGCATGACTTTGTGTTGTTAAGAATGATAATACGGATAGCATGTTGCCATGGTGATAACTGAGTTTCCTCTTGTCTAGCACAATTAACATTTAATGTCTTCCCTACCAGTACTTTTACCACTCTACCTTTCCACCCAAACTTCTAATCTTACTTCTTCTCTCTTTCTATCTGTCCTCCCCTCTCATACATTCATTTTTGTGATTGTGTGGTGTGTAATGGTGTGTTTGTTTGTGTGTGTATGGTTATGTATAGGCGTGGAGGACTACCGATCGAAACTAGGTGGGGATTGCTTCGCTGACCTGGCCTGCCCAGAGAAATGTCGCTGTGAAGGAACCACAGTGGACTGCTCTGGACAAAAGCTCAACAAGTTCCCAGACCACATACCTCAATATACAGCAGAACTGTGAGTTTCTCTCTCTCTGATTGTAACGGTTCCCCCCAAAATTCATCACTGTCTCATGTGTGAAGCAAGTACTGGAGCACTGGAAATCGCTCAGTTTTTATTAAAAATATAATCATTTGTGTTTTAAAGATGAATGAAAGTCTTAGAGGTTTGGAACAAAATGATGAATTGATGGCCTAATTTTCTTTTTTGGGTGAACTGAAACTTAAAATCTCCTGATATTATAGTTACAACGACAGAAGAATAAAATAAAGCATATTTCATTACCTTTTGGAGCTTGGAAAGGTTCAGTTTGAGCAGTCCTCGTCAGAGCTCATTTCTCAGTACATTCAGCATGATCTGGCTCATGTTTGCGATCTCAAACATATTCTCAAAACCATCATTTTTAACATCTTCAAAATCAATATTTTAATTGCTGACAGCTTATCCAGTGACACTAATATTTGATTGTGTTCAGCACTTGCTCTTCTGTAAATTACTGAGGCATTTCAAGTTTTGCTGAAGATACTTCCTATTCTTTTGTTTTCTGCCTGCAGTAACTATGAGTGAAACGTCACTTCATCATTGTTTATCAGACATAGTTATATTGTTTATAATGAATTTATTGAGGAATACTAAAGAAGGTTGATGTCTAACTTTAAAAAAAAATGAATGAGGAGGAGGGTAGTGAATGACGTGAATGGGTCACTAAAGACCTGATGTGTGTATGTGTTTAAGGGTTAATTAATTTAGTTGTGTGTTTGATTTGTTTTCCACGCAGCCGATTGAACAATAATGAATTTACAGTGCTGGAGGCTACAGGAATCTTTAAGAAGCTTCCTCAACTGCGCAAAATGTAAGTCTCTGTCTTTGTTATCTGTCATTACAGCATAAATGACCATCATTAGAGTACTTTAATTACCATGGCGACTTGCTTTGTTTTACAGAAACCTTAGTAACAATAAGATCACAGATATTGAGGAGGGCACATTTGAGGGTGCCAGTGGAGTGAATGAGCTCATTCTGACCAGCAACCGCTTAGAGGGCGTCCACTACAGCATGCTGAAAGGCCTCAGCGGTCTCCGCACATTGTGAGTATTCACACTTGAATGAACATGTACAGTGAGGAGAATAAGTATTTGAACACCCTGCTATTTTGCAAGTTCTCCCACTTAGAAATCATGGAGGAGTCTGAAATTGTAATCGTAGGTGCATGTCCACTGTGTGAGACATAATCAAAAAAAAAACAAATAAAAAATAAATCATAATTTATGATTTTTTTAACTATTTATTTGTATGATACAGCTGCAAATAAGTATTTGAACACCTGTCTATCAGCTAGAATTCTGACCCTCAAAGACCTATGCTGCGTTCATGTGCTATGGTAATTATGGTAAATACCAAAAGCCGACGTGGAAAATGCACATGAACACCCCCTCATGTGGTATTTTCTACTGGGCAACTCGTAGAATATTTTGATGGACGAGTTGCCGAGATGAGATAACCTTTGAACTTTTCAAAATGGCGGAGAGCACTGCAAGAGTCGTGAATGGTAAAAATAGCCTATACCATTCATGATCTAGAAAATATACAGCATATTATTTACCTTTTGAGTTTTGATAAATCATTTTCTTGCTGTAGCAGATGACTTAAGCAATCTAAAATAGTTTTAGCTAAATAACAGGTCTGGATCTTCATCTTTTTACCACATTACGACAACAAAAGCACTTGAACGCAACACACTGGTAAATACCAATTCACAAGTGGAATATATCCTACTTTCCATAGCACGTGAACGCAGCACTAGTCTGCCTTTAAAATGTTTACCTCCACTCCATTTATTATCCTAAATTAGATGCACCTGTTTGAGGTCGTTAGCTGCATAAAGACACCTGTCCACCCCATACAATCAGTAAGAATCCAACTACTAACATGGCCAAGACCAAAGAGCTGTCCAAAGACTCTAGAGACAAAACTGTACACTTCCACGGGGCTGGAAAGGGCTACATGGAAATTGCCAAGCAGCTTGGTGAAAAAAGGTCCACTGTTGGAGCAATCATTAGAAAATGGAAGAAGCTAAATATGACTGTCAATCTCCCTCAGACTGGGGCTCCATGCAAGATCTCACCTCGTAGGGTCTCAATGATCCTAAGAAAGGTAAGAAATCAGCCCAAAACTACACAGGAGGAGCTGGTCAATGACCTGATAAGATCTGGGACCACCGTTTGGTTCCCCTGCTTAAACCAGCACGTCAAGGCCCGTCTTAAGTTTGACAATGACCATTTGGATGATCCAGAGAAGTCATGGGAGAAAGTCATGAGGTCAGAGGAGACCAAAATAGAACGTTTTGGTCATAATTCCACTAACTGTGTTTGGAGGAAGAAGAATGATGAGTACCAATCCAAGAACACCATCCCTACTGTGAAGCATGGGGGTGGTAGCATCATGCTTTGGAGGTGTTTTTCTGCACATGGGACAGGGTGACCGCATTGTATTAAGGAGAGGATGACCGGGGCCATGTAGAATGTGATTTTGGGGAACAACCTCCTTCCCTCAGAGCATTGAAGATGGGTAGAGACTGGGTCTTCCAACATGACAATGACCCGAAGCACACAGCCAGGATAACCAAGGAGTGGCTCTGTAAGAAGCATATCAAGGTTCTGGCATGGCCTAGCCAGTCTCCAGACCTAAACCCAATAGAGAATCTTTGGAGGGATCTCAAACCCCATGTTTCTCAGTGATAGCCCAGAAACCTGACTGATCTAGATAAGATCTGTGTGGAGGAGTGGGCCAAAATCCCTCCTGCAGCGTGTGCAAACCTGGTGGAAAAACTACAGAAAACGTTTCACCTCTGTACTTGCAAATAAAGGCTACTGCAGCAAATATTAAAATTGATTTCCTCAGGTGTTCAAATACCTATTTTCAGCTGTATCAAACAAATAAATAGTTAAAAAATCATATATTGTGATTTTGGGATTTTTTTTTTAGATTATGTCTCTCACAGTGGACATGAACCTATGATGACATTTTCAGACCCCTCCATGATTTCTAAGTGGGAGAACTTTGTTCAAAAGCTTTTTTTCCTCACTGTACATGTTAGCTTCTTACTGAATCACAAATATATATCAATCTCTACTAAAGCACATTGCAAAATGTCAGGGTAGTGAATGATTTTGTCTAGGTATGATTTTATTCTCAGGTGTGGCCACATTGGTTTGTGTGTTGCTGGTTTAAATGATTATGTGTGTTTGTCCTGTGTAGGATGTTGAGGAGTAACAAGATAAGCTGCGTCAATAACGGTAGTTTTACTGGTCTGAGCTCGGTGAGGCTGCTCTCCCTCTATGATAACCAAATCACCTCCATGTCCCCGGGAGCCTTTGACACTCTACATTCCCTCTCCACGCTGTGAGTATCAACCCACAGTAACAAGCAAAGTGTTTTTTTTTTTTTTTTATTCCAGTGCTGTTTCAAATTTAATAATAATAAAAAGTTTCTGTTAAGAACTGAAATGGTTCTTTGAGGAAAAATTGTTCTTCTATGGCATTGATGCGGAAAAAAAACACTTTATTTTTTAAGAGTGTAGGCAGCTCATTAGGTTTTGGAGCAGCATTTGTTTGTATAATGATTTGCTAAATATTTGCTACATATTTTTTCTTTATGCAATCCCACAGGAACTTGCTGGCCAATCCATTTAACTGTAACTGTCATCTGGCTTGGTTGGGTGAATGGCTCCGTAAGAAACGGATTGTCACGGGCAACCCCCGCTGTCAGAGCCCCTACTTTCTTCAGGAGATCCCTATTCAAGATGTAGCCATACCAGATTTTGCCTGCGAAGACGGTACGGCTATGGGCGTGTGTGGGGGTGTAAACAGATCTTGTTTTTAGCTCTTAATAGGGCTTTGATACAATCTATTTTGTTAACTTGAGCATAGCTCAGTGTTATCTTTCTTTTACACAAACACGCTTACAATCACGCTGGCAAATCTTCGCACCGAAAAGCTAATTTCAAATTAGAACATTAAGATGATGTTTAATTTTCTGTTTGTGTGTCAGCAGGTAATGATGAAAGTAGCTGTGTCCCCCTGGCTCGCTGTCCTGCCGAGTGTTCGTGTTTGGATACGGTGGTGCGCTGCAGTAATAAAGCACTAAAGGTTTTACCCAAGGGCATTCCTAAAGACGTAACAGAACTGTGAGTGTACCGAAAGCACACCATGGGCTCAAACCTCACAGCAATTTCATAATAAATGGTCATTTTCAAAAATCCCCTTATCTGATCCAGGCACACCTTTTTATGAACCCAGCTGCCTCCAAAAACACCATAATTGATGTCTGAAACAATACACGGCTGCTATACGTCTTTGAAGTTTCTCCCATTACACTGTTGCTAATGTGCTATTTCCTCTGTGTTTGAGTAATAACTTGTTTGTCTTTTTCTGATAGCTATCTCGATGGCAACCAGTTCACGCAAGTCCCTCTGGAACTATCCAATTATAAACACCTCACTCTCATGTAAGTACAGCCCTCTCTGGAGTCATCCAATCACAAATTGTTTACTGTTAACAAGGCCCTGCCCCTTTGAAACTAGCCAGTCGTAACAGACCCTTTTTAGGCGCTTTTAAACGGACAGAGTTTGTAGCTTGTACATATGGTGTTTGATCCATTGGCATTATCTCATCCTGCCAATGGCAGAAAATCCAAAAGTTTCTGGCTGTATTTTGAGGGGGATTTTTGTGTGTGGCTTTTGCACTTATTTCCTGCACTACTAATAAACAACCATCATTATACACACAATATATGAGTATGAGTGATTGCTCGTTTTTGCTCATTGCAAGTTATTTTATGCACATAAAAAAGATCAAAGACTTTGAAATGTCTTTTTTAAATAATTTATAAGACTGAAAATGGCTTTCGAATGTTTATTATATTTTAACATATTGTAATTTTTCCATGAATGCAAATCTAATTGGCTTATAAATCACACCCGATCAGAAAAATCAATGCGAGTGAAGCGATGCATCAAGGCTGTTGAATGCTTCTGTATTACACGTAACTATTGTACACGCTTTGTGTTTGCTGTTTGCAGTTTTAATTTTAAAGGTCATTGCATTGATAAGTTCATCCGTCTTGAGTGTCCTAACATGGAAGTTCACATGTGTGCATTGTCTTGTGCTATGCATTTAACTACAGTATGTAAAGTGAAATATATAATTCCTTGCAGTTTGGTAAATGCAAAAATATTTAATCCCTGGTTGCACTGCATTCAGCTCTGGTCAGTTTGGCTTTAATGGAGTTATTGTTTTGCAGTGTAAAAACAGCTCATGTGTAAACAGCTTATCTTAAATATAACAAATCTTTTTTCTTTTTAATGCTGTGTGCAACATTTTGTTATTGGTATGTACCGTAAATGTTGGCTTCAAGTGTCCGATTTTCTCGTGGCTCATAACACTCTGCCTTTGTTTGTGTGTGTGTGTGTGTGTGTGTATGCGAATGTATGTGTGTTTTCTTGCAGTGATATGAGTAATAACCAGATCAGCACATTGTCCAACCACAGCTTCAGTAACATGTCCGAGCTTCTCACCCTGTGAGTGTCAACATGATTTATGGCTTCAGTTTGTGTCTGTGTGGGTTTTTTTTTTGTGTGTGTAAAAAAAAAACTAGTGTGGTTGTGTATGTTTTTAGCTGTGAATTGTGCGTGTGTGAATTTTATAGTTCTTCCTATTTTATGGGCACTTACTTTAAGTATATACTATATGCTGTGGTAGTCCTGGCTCATTCAAAATGCTGTGATTTGGATTAAATTTAGATGCATTAATGAGATTTTTTTTGCCATAGAATTATTATTATTAACTTATTATTAAAGATGATTTAATAATCGTATTATTTTTATTCTATTTCAGTCATTTATTTCAGAAGTTGCAAAATCCACTTGGCTTATTTATTTATTTTTTGAGTTTTTATGGGCTGACGCATCTGTGTAAATGTATGTTTTTGCAAGTATTGTAATATTTTTTTGTTTCATCCCAGAATTTTAAGCTACAACAGACTGAGGTGTATTCCTGTAAAAGCTTTCGACGGTCTCAAATCTCTGCGCCTGTTGTGAGTACCTTATAGTGTGGGGGTGTGTGTGCGTGTGTGCGTTTGCTATCAGACTTTGATTTATATATTTTGGACTCTCTTGGATGGCTTAATTTTTCTATTCTCTCTGCAGGTCTCTTCATGGTAATGATATTGCTGTGATCCCAGATGGAGCTTTCAAAGATCTGTCCTCGCTCTCCCACCTGTAAGTACCTCAGAATGAACACACGCATACACACACACAAGCACTTATGAGTGCACCAAATAGGTTTTGACAGCTGGATGTACTTTGGTTCTTTCTTTACTCTCACACAGACACACTGAAACACTTTCTTTGTCTGAACTTGGGGCTCTGCAGTCACAGATTGGTTGATTTCTTGGTCTCCCACTATGGCCTTTTTTTATAATTCTCATGGATCAATTTCACAAGTGTAATTATGACTGACAGCCGAGCAGAACAAATCTACACATTACCTTACAGAGGGCACTGTCAAGCAGCCAATATCATAATATTTTTATATGGTTATATCAAAATATTATTTATTAAAACCATTTTTTTACATTGCTTCAAAAATAGCAATTGCAATAATATATCTACAAGCATGTTTAGCATATTATGTCAGTTGTTTAACCTAGCTGTGAGGCCCCTAAAAACAGCTTGATCACTCAGAAAGCATTTTGTGTGTCTATTAATTTCCACATGTTTGACACATTAAGGGCTAGATTTACTAAACAGGGCAAATTACTGCACGAACACAATTCCAAAATAGCACCGATGGGAGCGAAAAGTTCTGCGTGTGATCTACTGACTACACGCAAATTAAAGAACACAGACGCATCTGGATCATTTCCATAAAGACCAAGAACAGCGCAAATTAGTGTCTGGTTTATGACATGCTTTGTAAATAATGCAAATCACCTTGCGTGATTCATTTAAATACCCTCCTCCCATATATTTGCATCTGAAAGGGAAGCTCCTACAAATGCATATGCAATATGCAATAAAGGTCAGCTGGAAAATAATGCCTTTTCAGTGCTCATTTTTTGCTGCTTGTCTAGTAAATCCTGACAGTAGTTTTTTAACGCCAACAGAGGGTTTGCGCTGGCGCAAGCTGTTTGTAAATTCATTCCTTAGGCTTATGAATTTGATAGGTGGGCATTATCGTAATTACAGCCAATCAGAACAGCATGAAGGAACTTCCCGCCATCAAACTCATGCTTTATCCAAGAATGTCTCTGTTGTAAGGTGTTGCTTTAGATTTCATATCATGTTTGATTTTGGATTATTTTTTATCATCCAAATTTTTGGAGAAGGTTTAATATAATCTTGTGTGTGTTACCTGCAGGGCTCTGGGAGCAAACCCTCTGTACTGTGATTGTCACATGCAGTGGCTCTCTGACTGGGTTAAGAGCGGCTACAAGGAGCCTGGAATCGCGCGCTGTACTGGTCCTGGAGAGATGACCGACAAACTACTGCTGACTACACCCTCCAAGAAATTCACATGCACAGGTAAACCCGGAGACACTCTTCCTGTCACGGAGAGGGCATTAGTACTAACTCTAGTTTACATGCTCAGATGTTAATATTGTAAGTAATGTGATTTGATTGGTACATTTTTAGAGGTGCTGGGGACTTGTGGTTTGCCGGTACCAGGTAAGGAAGCCAATCAGAGCCCAGTGTGAGCTCTTAAACCCCGGCCCCCTATATCTGCCACCCAAACCTTTCCTCAGGTTTAAAATGACCTTTGACCTGTTTTAGTTTTGTGACGCTTTACCTGCTCAATCCTATCTGTGTTTGTATTTGTAACGTCTGTGGTTGTATATTTGTTTTATATTTGTTTGTTTATAACTTCTCTCTGTATTTTACATAGGTCCAGTGGATGTGAACATTTTGGCTAAATGTAACCCTTGTTTATCCAATCCATGCAAGAATGATGGAACCTGCAGTAACCATCCCGTTGATTTTTACAGATGCACCTGTCCTTATGGTTTTAAGGTACATACTCACTTTAACACACACAAGAATATCTCATTAGTGGTCTTGCCTAGGTTTTATCGTACACAAAACGATATGTGATTTGTTTGAGAAATTACATTTCTAAGACAGCAGACCTTTCACCTGGGAGGTATACAATTGAAAATAAAATTTAAAAAAATGTATTTGTACATATAGACCATTTCACAAGATGTAAACAACACTGGTCCAGAAGCACTTCCTGTTTCAGTTTGTAACTATTTTCTTAATTTCACATGTAAAGAAAACATCTTAAAGATGTTTGTTTAACTTTTTGATTCAGTTTTAAATGTTCTGTTGGTTGTATTTTATCCCAGCTTTTATGTAGTGTTAAACTGAAACAGGAAGTGCTTCTGGACCAGTGTTGTTTACATCTTGTGAAATGATCTATATATATATATGTGTGTGTGTGTGTGTGTACATATATTTTGTTCCCTATATTACTCCAAGCCCTCCTTCAATATAAGGTTATCATATATATATATATATATATAGTATAGTATAGTATAGTATATGATAACATTGAAGGAGGGCTTGGAGTCACATAGGGAGCAAAATATCATAGAGAGTTTACATAACGTTTGCAACATGCATGTTCATATAGGGTCAAGACTGTGAGGAACCAATTCATGCGTGCATCGGTAACCCCTGTCAGAATGGAGGCACCTGTCATCTAAAGGATGGAGAGCAAAACACTCACTGGTGAGACCGACTTTTACCATTATCATCATGAAAATACTGAACTGTTTGAAATTACAACTGATATGTGTATGAGGCCGATAAAGAGATTCTGTATTGTATTTGGGGCCCTGTTGAATGTGGCTTAAATGATCAGATGTGTGCGTGTGTGTGTCCCTGCTGCTCCGGGTAATGAATATACTTCATGGATAGAGTGTGTCTAATCTGTCTTAATCAGACTGAAGTGTCTGAAACTGATATGAGCTCACTCATGCACTTAATCATCCAATCAAGGGCCTTTATGTGGACACACACAGTAGAGACGTGTGTGTGTGGTGAGCTCAGGTCTAGCTGTAGTTATACACTGACTGATCAATGCTAATAAATCCTTTGTATTGGTGAATAAGAAGAGTTTCATTTGAGAACTTCTGCTTTACATTTTGATTAGCTAATGTAATGTAATACACCCACAGACACACACGCACACTGCATAAAATACTTTCTTCTATCCCTGTTTAATGAGACAACCATAAGTAAGCCATTCATAGGTCAATTTCCCAAAGAGCAAAAACACTGCTGCTCTGTAGTACTTTCAAATTTCCAGGCAACTTTGGGTTCAAACAAAGGCATGAATTTGGAACCTGATAATGTCATGTATATGAATAACAGAATAACAGTGTGAAGCACGTAACACGTTTCATTAGTGGTTTTTGCTAAGGCAAGGATCACTATTTCTTATTTGAATTCAAACCAGCTTAATTGAATGAGGTTTAGTGTTTATAGTGTTTATAGCGTGCACTTAAATATTAAACTCATCCTGTTTGTGCTTTGGGCATTAATGTTACCTTAAATTGTGCATCTTGTTAAAGAGAGATTATTTAATGATAATTAAAGCACCCATTCTTAAATTTTGGAAAGAAATTTTTATAAAGATTTTTTTTAGAAAGATTTTTTATTTATTTATTTTTTTTTGAACAAGGGACCAAACCATCAGTATCCCAGCAAACAAATTTAGGTTCTGGGAACATTCTGGGAACGTTAGTTTTTGGTTCCCAGAACGTTCCTAGAACTTTCCCTTAAGGTTAGGGGAACGTTCCTGGAACGATCTCCTTGTGTTATAAAAATGGAACCTAAAAATAACCTGCATGGAACGTTCCTATAACGTTCTTGTTTGGTCCCCCCCCCAAAAAAAACTCATGGGACCATTCGGGAACGTTAGGGGAACGTTCTGTGCAATGGACTGTAAGAGAAATTGAGTAGTACAGAAACAAACAATTATAGAATATCAGCACTGTTCATATAGAGTTTGAGTGAACTTAAAGTTTCAAAAGGATTCAAAAGTTTTACGCAGTTGTTATGTTTGTATGTTCAGGTGTGTGTGTCCAGAAGGATTTGAGGGCGACGAATGTGAGATAAATATTGATGACTGTGAAGATAATGACTGTGAGAATAACTCCACGTGTGTGGATGGTATCAACAACTACACCTGTCACTGCTCACCTGAATACACAGGTAACTTACACACAGTCACCCGCAAAATGCTTTGTGTTCTCTGTGCTTTCTGTGTTTAACTGTCTGATGCTAACATGCAAATGTGCTGCTTGTGCTAACATGCTAACATGTCAAACACGTCCTCTGTATTTCTTTGTTTTCCTGTCTTTCTCTCGCTACTTGTTTCTCTTTTTCTACTAGCTGCTAATAATAATGAGGTGGAGAAAGGTTAGTTATCTCTCTTTCACTTCATCCTCCCATTGTCTGTCTCTTTCCTTTGCTGTTTCTGGCCAGTGCGTACTCTGTGCTTGCTGAAGTATGAAATGCACACTTGCACACACATTTTTTCCTTGCTGCTACACTGTCAATAGAGGTGTAGTATTGTAACAGAGTATTGGTATTTTGTCATCTTCTACACTGTACACTCAAGCACACTCCTTCTGGTTCAATGGGATGCTACATGTTTTCTTACAGTAAACTCTACAATGATTTTTCATACTCTTCCCACTCTTTCTGACTGTTCATGTATGTGTAGGGGAGCTGTGCGAAGATAAGATGGATTTCTGCGCTTCAGAGTTGAACCTGTGTCAGCACGACTCAAAATGTATTCAGACCGCTAAGGGCTTCATGTAAGTCACTAAATTCCTCACTATCCGTTTTAAACTCAGGCTCGAACAATAAATCACATACTTGATCATGTGAAACATATGGGCAAAAACAGATTCACAGGTTATTATCAGTCCATTTGAAAAAAAAAAAAAACATGTTTAAAATATACTGGGCCAATTTTTAAGATGAATTTACCACTGGGTTTGGCATAACATGATGCGTTTATAGCATCAAATCTTGATAAGTTTATAGCATCAAATCTTTTAAAGGACTTCTGAGTTTTGAATTTCGTTTTCAAGGCACTTAATAGCAAATAAACTATCCACAAGCAGAAATGTAAATGTAAAATATTTCCATAAACATTTATATATATATATATATATATATATATATATATATATATATATATATATATATATATATATATATATATATATATATATATATATATATACATTACTTGTGAAAAATTTGGAATAATAATGATTTTTTTTAAAATGTATTTGAAAGAAGTCTCTTATGCACCCGGGCTGCATTTATCTGATAAACAATACATTAAAACCATTCATATTCTGAAATATTCTAACAATGTAATTTTTATATATATATTTGAATATTTTTCAAAATATAATGTATTCCTGTGATGGCAAAGCTGAATTTTCAGCATCATTACTCCAGTCTTCAGTGTTACATGATCCTTCAGAAAGCATACCTATATGCTGATTGCTGCTCAGTAAGCATTTATTATTATTATCAATGTTGAGAATTTTTGAATGCAGTGTATCACAGCTTGCACAGAAATATAAAGCAGTACAACTATTTTCAACATTGATAATAATAAGAAATGTTTTTGAGCAACACAGTAATAAATAACATTTTAAAAAATATTAAAATTAAAACCAGTTATTTTAAATTGTAATAATAGTTCACAATATTACTGTTTTACTGTATTTCTGATCAAATAAATGGTTGAGCAAAAGAGATAATAAAATGTTTTGCTGACCAGCAACCTTTGAATGCTGGTCTATTTATATAATATACTGACCAATCATATCATGATAATATCTCTGCAGTGCATTAGTGCTGTGCAGACGTTTAAATCCTTTCCTATAAAAACTGCCCCTCTGAAGTCACTTAAGCCTGTTGGATCCAAAACCTTTTTGGATTCGGTTTCATCACCCTCTCCCCTCATCTCATATTTTATTTTATCCCTCTCTCCACCGGACCAAAACAATCGCCATGTTAGAAAACATCAGGTGTGTGTTTCCTTCTCTGCTGATATGTGTGAGCAGCAGACCACATAAGTTCATTTTTGTGTTTTTATGCCCATTGGTGCAGATGTTAACACAACACTAGAGCTGTGTGGAATGCAGCTGGAGTCTCTGAGGTTCTGCTCTATGTTTGTGTTCTGATATTCAATTACAGCTCTCCCGTTGGGTTTACTATAAAAATGAGTTGGAGGGGGGTGTTTTAAATATGATATGATGCGATACGAAGGGATGATGAATGTGTTTATGTAGCGCTTTAGGGTGTGTAAATTCATTCAACAGAACTTCAATTTCAGTGGTTTAAGTAACTAAAACTTTGTAATTAGAGAAGTCTAATCTCACAACACAATAGATTTCACTGTTCATATACTGTATGTATATTATTTTTAAACAAAAGAAAAGAAGCATGATCCCAACCGCACCACTGAACATACAACAGATCTAACTACGATTGGGGATACTTAATGTTTCGCCCAAAAAAAAAAAACGTAAGGGGTAACACTGTCGGGTTTTTTTTCTGGTCGAAATTTTGATTTTGGATATCTCAGCTCTGGAAGGGTCTAGAGCCTCCATTTTTGCACTCAGGTTTAAGTCTCATGGCCCTCTATCAGAATCCAGAGTTTTGAGAAGATTGGAGAAACTTCATTTTTCGCCCGAAAAAAAAAAAAAAAACGAAAGGGGTACCACTGTCGTTTTTTTTTTTTTCGGGTCGAAATTTTGAGTTTCGATATCTCAGCTCTGGAAGGGTCTAGAGCCTCCATTTTTGCACTCAGGTCTAAGGCTCACAGCCCTCTATCAGAATCCAGAGTTTTGAGAAGATTGGGGATACTTAAGTTTTCGCCCAAAAAAAAAAATCCGTAAGGGGTAACACTGTCGTTTTTTTTTCGGGTAGAAATTTTGAGTTTCGATATCTCAGCTCTGGAAGGGTCTAGAGCCTCCATTGTTGCACTCAGGTCTATGTCTCATGGCCCTCTATCAGAATCCAGAGTTTTGAGAAGATTGGGGATACTTAATGTTTCGCCCAAAAAAAAAAAAACGTAAGGGATAACACTGTCGGTTTTTTTTTTCTGGTCGAAATTTTGATTTTGGATATCTCAGCTCTGGAAGGGTCTAGAGCCTCCATTTTTGCACTCAGATTTAAGTCTCATGGCCCTCTATCAGAATCCAGAGTTTTGAGAAGATTGGAGAAACTTCATTTTTCGCCCGAAAAAAAAAAAAAAACGAAAGGGGTACCACTGACTTTTTTTTTTTTCGGGTCGAAATTTTGAGTTTCGATATCTCAGCTCTGGAAGGGTCTAGAGCCTCAATTTTTTCACTCAGGTCTAAGGCTCACGGCCCTCTATCAGAATCCAGAGTTTTGAGAAGATTGGGGATACTTAAGTTTTCGCCCAAAAAAAAAAATCCGTAAGGGGTAACACTGTCGGTTTTTTTTTCGGGTCGAAATTTTGATTTTCGATATCTCAGCTCTGGAAGGGTCTAGAGCCTCCATTGTTGCACTCAGGTCTAAGTCTCATGGCCCTCTATCAGAATCCAGAGTTTTGAGAAGATTGGGGAGACTTAATTTTTACGCCCAAAAAAAAAACCGTAAGGGGTAACACTGTCGTTTTTTTTTTCGGGTCGAAATTTTGAGTTTCGATATCTCAGCTCTGGAAGGGTCTAGAGCCTCCATTGTTGCACTCAGGTCTATGTCTCATGGCCCTCTATCAGAATCCAGAGTTTTGAGAAGATTGGGGATACTTAATTTTTCGCCCAAAAAAAACCGTAAGGGGTAACACTGTCGTTTTTTTTTTTTCTGGTCGAAGTTTTCAATTTCGATATCTCAGCTCTGGAAGGGTCTAGAGCCTTCATTGTTGCACTCAGGTCTATGTCTCATGGCCCTCTATCAGAATCCAGAGTTTTGAGAAGATTGGGGATACCTAATTTTTCGCCGAAAAAAAAACATAAGGGGTAACACTGTCGTTTTTTTTTTCAGGTCGAAATTTTGAGTTTCGATATCTCAGCACTGGAAGGGTCTAGAGCCTCCATTGTTGCACTCAGGTCTAAGTCTCATGGCCCTCTATCAGAATCCAGAGTTTTGAGAAGATTGGGGATACTTGAGTTTTCGCCCAAAAAAAAAAACGTAAGGGGTAACACTGTCGTTTTTTTTTCGGGTCGAAATTTTGATTTTCGATATCTCAGCTCTGGAAGGGTCTAGAGCCTCCATTGTTGCACTCAGGTCTAAGTCTCATGGCCCTCTATCAGAATCCAGAGTTTTGAGAAGATTGGGGATACTTAATTTTTACGCCCAAAAAAAAAACATAAGGGGTAACACTGTCGGGGTTTTTTTCGGGTCGAAATTTTTATTTCGATATCTCAGCTCTGGAAGGGTCTAGAGCCTCCATTGTTGCACTCAGGTCTAAGTCTCATGGCCCTCTATCAGAATCCAGAGTTTTGAGAAGATTGGGGATACCTAATTTTTCGCCCAAAAAAAAAACATAAGGGGTAACACTGTGGTTTTTTTTTCGGGTCGAAATTTTGAGTTTTGATATCTCAGCACTGGAAGGGTCTAGAGCCTCCATTGTTGCACTCAGGTCTAAGTCTCATGGCCCTCTATCAGAATCCAGAGTTTTGAGAAGATTGGAGAAACTTCATTTTTCGCCTGAAAAAAAAAAAACGAAAGGGGTACCACTGTCGTTTTTTTTTTTTTCGGGTCGAAATTTTGAGTTTCGATATCTCAGCTCTGGAAGGGTCTAGAGCCTCCAATTTTTGCACTCAGGTCTAAGGCTCACGGCCCTCTATCAGAATCCAGAGTTTTGAGAAGATTGGGGATACCTAATTTTTCGCGGAAAAAAAAAACATAAGGGGTAACACTGTCGTTTTTTTTTCAGGTCGAAATTTTGAGTTTTGATATCTCAGCACTGGAAGGGTCTAGAGCCTCCATTGTTGCACTCAGGTCTAAGTCTCATGGCCCTCTATCAGAATCCAGAGTTTTGAGAAGATTGGGGATACTTAAGTTTTCGCCCAAAAAAAAACCCGTAAGGGGTAACACTGTCGTTTTTTTTTTTTCGGGTCGAAATTTTGATTTTCGATATCTCAGCTCTGGAAGGGTCTAGAGCCTCCATTTTTGCACTCAGGTTTAAGTCTCATGGCCCTCTATCAGAATCCAGAGTTTTGAGAAGATTGGGGAGACTTAATTTTTACGCCCAAAAAAAAAACCGTAAGGGGTAACACTGTCGTTTTTTTTTCGGGTCGAAATTTTGAGTTTCGATATCTCAGCACTGGAAGGGTCTAGAGCCTCCATTGTTGCACTCAGGTCTAAGTCTCATGGCCCTCTATCAGAATCCAGAGTTTTGAGAAGATTGGGGATACTTAAGTTTTCGCCCAAAAAAAAACCCGTAAGGGGTAACACTGTCGTTTTTTTTTTTTCGGGTCGAAATTTTGATTTTCGATATCTCAGCTCTGGAAGGGTCTAGAGCCTCCATTTTTGCACTCAGGTTTAAGTCTCATGGCCCTCTATCAGAATCCAGAGTTTTGAGAAGATTGGGGAGACTTAATTTTTACGCCCAAAAAAAAAACCGTAAGGGGTAACACTGTCGTTTTTTTTTCGGGTCGAAATTTTGAGTTTCGATATCTCAGCACTGGAAGGGTCTAGAGCCTCCATTGTTGCACTCAGGTCTAAGTCTCATGGCCCTCTATCAGAATCCAGAGTTTTGAGAAGATTGGGATACTTAATTTTTTCGGCCAAAAAAAAAACGTAAGGGGTAACACTGTCG